TGTGTGCAGGTGCCTTATTTTTTGTTTATAGTAAAAAAATGCGGAGTTTTACGCCAGTCACCCACACGCTGAGCTTTCCAGAGCAATTGGAATGCTTTGAATTCTGTGGCAGCGATTTCGCCTGTAATTTGATAGCACTTGGAAGCAATAAAAAGATTATTCTTGGTATCATAAGTTTGCCGGTAAAAGTTACATATGCAGAATGGTCCTATAGCATCTCTACACAATATATATTTTTATAGGAAGAAGCTGGTTGTTTTGATTGGAAGCATTTAAAAGACTTATACCACGAGAGTCGCTGTGTGTCACTTTGCTTTGCCCCAGAAACTTCGCTGGCGGGGGTGCCAAAATCGGTTATGTTTTGCGCAGCTGGTTCCGATTTCCGATTGCGTATATTCCGTACAGACTTGCAGAACTCTGACACTGTTCAAGTACTCAATGGTTTGCACGATATAAACACCAGCAATGTACAATTAACAGCATAGCTTCTTTTCAGGCCATACAAACTATATCAACGAAGTTGTATGGGACTGCAATGGCGAGTTTCTGACATCTGTTGGCGACGATAATACTTGTCGTATCTGGGATGCTAAAGATAATTTTGAAAATACCGTAACATTTCATTTGCAATCAGCTGGCATGTCTGTAAAGTGCCACCCAGAGGAACCGCGCAAAGTACTTGTGGCCGAGAAAAGGGGTGTCATACATTTGTACAATGTGCAGACACAGACGGCGATTATATCGGTTGAAGCGCAAAAGTTTCCGCTCAGATCAGTGGATTGGTGTCCGCTGAACCGCATGTGCATTACCGCACTTGTAGCGGGCGATATAATTACTTGGGATCTACGACGCCCCACACCCATCGATATAAAGCAAGTACATGAAGACGGTGGACAAATAGTGCGCATAGCACCCAATGCAGAGACAGTAATAGCCAGTGTTGGTCGACCGGATATTGCAGTTAAAGTTTTCACCGCTAAATCAAGAATACCACTAGTGGATGCCGCGCTCAAGCTGTACGGTGGCTTGTCCTGGCACCATCGCTTACCCTACATTGGTGTGGCTACAGATCGAAAGTTATGTCTATGGAAATTACAAATTAAATAAACCGAAGAATTCGTTCTATTGCTAAGCTGTTTTGTTTTTATTTATTAAATATCAAAATTTTATTGCATTACTATAAGAAAAAAATGAATTTAATTGCCGTTAGTTGTTGACGACAGGTACTCTTTATACCGCGCTTCTTGTTGCTGCTGCAGCTTAGTTAGCTTCTTAAGCAGGCCTTTACTTATCTCTTTGCCATCGACATCGTGCGTAGGTAACCCCTGTAAAATGTAGAGTGAACTTTAGTAGCTTAAAAGTTCAATCAGCAAGCAAGCCACTTTTTAAATTTTATGCACTTACATTTTCATCAAATTGTGAGTATTTGTCTTTTTCATTAAAGAACATCTCCTTGGGACTAATTCTTTTTTGCGCTTCTTTGGCAGCCGACTGCTTCGCAGCAGCTTCCTGTTTGCGTTGCTTCTCAGCTAGGCGCTCTGCCTCAGCAGCTTTTTTCGCTTCACGTTCCTTCAGCAATACTTCTCGATCCACCAACTTGACAGCATATTTTCCATTTTCTTTATCCTCAAGACGCACGCCCAAATTAGGTAGTACGTCATCCCGCAACTTGTCGCACATTTCTAAAATAGCATTCGCTTTAATGGTTTTCGCTTCCTCGCGGACATTATTTCGGAATTCGGCTACCGCATCTACATATGGTAACAATGTGGTTTCGATGTCCACATTACTATCGCCTGCACCAACGGGAAAACCTATGCCACCACGGGGCCCTTGAATAGCGCCGAATATGTGCAAAATATCCGTTATATACTCGGTAATGCGACGAAGTAAAATACAATTCAAGCGATCTTTATTGTCTCTTATATACACATTGGTAAGGGAAACTAACTCTCGCAGAGCATCTAGCGCGCTGCGAGTGTCAATGTTGTCTGCGAAAAAATGTATGTAAGGTAGACCGATATACGACTACAAACTAGGTTTATATACAGAGCCTGTATCTTACCACATAAGGCCTCATGTACTGCATCACGCGTTAGCTTATGTTTTTCTTGCAAGGCAGCCTCGGCACTTGTCCATGCGCTAAACTCTGAACCTGCTGGACCAGTTTGTATGTGTCGAGTTAAATCTTTTATATTTAAAAAGAATTCCTAGAACGAAAAGTAATATTTAATTTAAAAAAATTCGAAGGATAAAAAACGCACTACAAACATTCATAAATCGCTCATATTGACAGGCCATATCCATCGTGTTGCTGGAATAATCAAGAGTATCTTTCCAGGAGTGTAGAAGAAATGCAAGCCGTAATTGACAGGGGGTGTTTTTCTTCAATGCCTCTTGTATCGTAATGAAATTTTTTAATGATTTTGACATTTTGCACCCAGCAATGGTCAAGTGACCCGTGTGCAGGAAATATTTAACCCATTCCGATTGATTAAATGCTGCTTCCGATTGCGCCAATTCGTTGTCATGATGCGGGAATTTTAAATCCACACCACCAGTGTGAATATCAAACATTGGTCCAAATATATCAGAAGCCATAGCTGAACACTCGATATGCCAGCCTGGACGTCCTCTACCCCAAGGACTTTCCCAAGATGGTTCTCCAGCTTTGCTAGCTTTCCATAGTGCAAAATCGTTTGGTGAGCGCTTTTCAGAGAGCCTATCTGCCGCAATAGATAAGTCACCCTCGCCTTCCTGCAGTGACTTGGTATCGCCATATGCCTCTGGTACAAGTTTTGCATAATGATGCTTCTCTTGCTTGTCAAAAGCATGCACATCAAAGTATACGGAGCCATTTGCTTCGTATGCAAGTTTATTATCAAAGATTTGTTCAATGAATTTGATAATCTGCGGCACGTATTCTGATACACGTGTAAGTACATCTGGCGGTAATATCTGTTATAAAGTGCTTATATTAGAAAAGTTTTTCGTACAGTAACAAGAATACCTTACGTTAAGCGCCTGCATATCTCTGTGGTATTCGCCCTCAAAATAACGTGGCAGTGTTTCAAATATTGAATTTTCAGTAATTGTCGAACCTTCTTTGCGATCCAGCCACTCGGCTATGGGCTCTTTTGACTCATTCAAATACAGTGAGCGCGCTTCATCAATTTTTTCTGGATCATTGCTGGCCACAGCCATAATAAGCGTTTCCGTTGCTTCATTCATTCTTATAAGCATTCGTTCATACATAATTTTCTTGTCATGATCAGTCGTTCCACGGCAGATGGCGTTGAATTGCTTCAAAACCTCCTTTTGGTCCCCTAACAAGTTATCCAGTGGTATCGAAGAGGCTGTGCTCACATAACGTTCATAGAGATAATTTTGTCGTGCACGTTTAATGATCTTGTCATCAATATCAGTAATATTCATAACATAAAAAATATTATAACCGAAATAGTTAGAGAGGATACGCCGCAGAATATCGAAAGAAATGTACGACCTAAATTACATAAAGAAGGTAGTGCATTACAATATAGATAAGGTGCAATGTTTTATGTACATATATGTACATACACGGCGTGACGAAAGCAAGTGGTGAACGTGGCACTAACGTTATATGTACATAGTTTACCTTGCATGTCCCATGTGTGATACATCATATACGGTTGGGCCGCAACTATACCAAGTTACATTATTGCCATCCAGTGGGACAAACACCTCCTTTTGCCTTGTAAAGCTGTTGAACAGTCGCAATTTCGGACGCTCCTTTGCGGCCGGTGGACTCCAATCAGGTTGAGCTCTTTTTGCCATGTTTAATGGAATGCAGCTACGGAAAATATTTTTTCTAAATGAATTTTAATTTAGGTTTATTATACCGTACGATTTACCTATTTTAGTCACCAACTTACAACGTGTGGCAAGAAATTGCACCAGCCAGATACTCCAAACAGGGCTGCCAACTTTCTTAGCTATGAAGTGCCTTATTGATGATAAGAAAGTACCAAAATGAGCCAAATAGAAATATAAAAGTTCAAAAAGGTGTCATTCTTTTTATTCTTCCCATTCAGCATTCAAATTAAAATCACATTCCTAAAACAAAATTCCAATGCCAAAGTAAGATAAACCAGTTGCGAGCAATATAGAAATTATAAAATTTTAGTTGAGAAAAAGAAGTACTCGCAGAACATTTCACAAAAATGTATTGCCAAATTGAAAAATTAAGTGCCATATGAAGTAAAATAGGGCCAAAACTGGCCATTAACCAAAAATACAAGATCACGTCTTATTCTTAGTAGCCCGTTATAATCGCATTTAGGAAAAAAGTTGGGCGACTTTGACATTAGCCGTTTATTTACATTTGTTCGTTGTTTACAATTTGGTGGTGGCTTTTTACTGCAATTTTCTTAATTTTCGCTTGTGTGTACATATAAGCTAAAGAATAATTTAACACAACGACATGATTTATAGAAGAATTTGCATAATAAAAATGATTATTCATGCATTTAACAATAACGCGGTTTCTTTTGTTTTCCCGTTTTCTTTTTCTCTTCGTTGTTTACTTCTTACAACAATGATGGCAACGAGGTTTCAACAGCAAGAAAATTACTTTTTTCTTTCGGGAAGGCGTGATCTCGTCTCTTTCGTTCATGAAAACTGGCGCGGTTTGAGCGAAGCTGGCAGCCCTGACTACAAATTGGACAGATACGCCAATAGGAAAATGTACACGGAACGAAAATAGGCCACGAACTCACCAAAATTATCGATTAAAATTAGAACTTTTACTATATATTTTCATTCGTTTTTAGGGTTTACCTGGATCCATGCATGATAAAACTATACAAGGTAAAACCATTGAGAGGCATTTTGAACATTTTTGACGTTTGCAAACCATTTAGTCTCACACTCTCATTTTGTCTGATTGTTTTGCTTTTGTTTTTCCGTTCAAATCAAATAAATATTAATCATTTTTTAGACATTCAATCTTGTTTATGCTCATAAAAATTCGTACATATGTATGTGTGAAATTAAAGGTCCTAAAATAGCATTTAATGCTAACAGGTTTGTATGTTTGTTGAAATTGTAAATGACCATAAATACCGCCGGAGTCCCTTGATTACAGATAAACAACTAATGCTTCAATCCAATACTCGCCGGTGGCAGGAACTGAATCGTCTGGATACAATCAATGAATTGCTTTTTCAGAGTTCCTTTACGCTATATTCAAATAAATATATGGACACATGTGCACGTGGATGATAAAATATTTAATTTTTGTATCATGTGCATATGCGTAAAGGGCAGTGTCGTTCGGGAAATAAAACAATTATTTTAAGCTTTTTATGTAATGATTTTCTTCATTTTTTTGTTGCATTTTTCTCGATTTTCAGGTTTTTTCAGATATTTTATTTTAAAAAAGTTCTTCCAACAAAAACTCGTTTTTTTTACGTGTTCATCAATTTGTACATGTTTCGAAAGTTTTAAGAGATTCCTCAAATAATGCTGGTTAGTATTTAATTTATCGCTATTGTACTTTACAAATATTTGGTTTAGATTTTCTAAAATGGCCATAAAACTATTGTTTGGTTTAAACAGCCCACCCTCAGATAATTGGTTTACATAGGAGTAATTTGTTTGCTGTTCTTTATCAGTTCTTTCACCACATCCTGATAGTTTTAATTTCGATACAAGGTATCCTCCAGAGTTTTCCAATCCATCAAATTCTATATCATTCAATGTTGATAAAGCGGTTTCTACTTCTGTTGCCTCTTGTTCTTCGGAAATCTATGCATATATATTAAAAGAAAATACATGTATATACATACGTATACTTCACAAAGATTTTCATGAAATGAAGCTTTACATCTAAGAGTTCTTCAAATGTATTTTCTTCATTTTCTATAACATCTCTGTATAACTGCTGAGTTAAAAATGTCTCCTCTGTTTCGAAGTTGGTTAGGACTTCGTCTTCAGTTGCCTTCACATTTGCATGATAGCTTAGTACATGGTCATCGCGACCTATTGTAAACATTTACATACATATATAATTATATTCGTCCCTTATACAAAATTGCATAAAGCATACCTAAAATGTACGATCGCAACCTGTATTTAAATTCTAGAGGGATG